TCGAATACAACACAGGGTCATTTAGGTTCGGGCCATCTTTCATCTGTCCATGTGATTTGCTCCCGCAATGGAAAACACGTTTGTAGACATGCGTCCCTTCCCCCAATCCCACAAGCTTGACTCTCATAGGTGATCCAGTTTCGTCCAGTTTGTTCCCCTACTGATCCCTGAGGGTCCACTCCAATCATAACTGTTGCTGCGTCCTTTGCAGAAGTGAACTGAGGGATGCTAGTTTCTCGCTTTGAAAGTGAGGGCCTGGGTCAAACTTGTGCAATGAAATAGATCATAAAAAACGGTTTGCCCTTCCTGCAAGCTAACTCCAAATAAGAGGTTAGCGCGTGGTGCAAGAGGCAGACTGTAGGCTTGACGCATGTTCATGTTCGGCTGCTTCAGGAGACCAAATTCATAGCCGTTCATATAGACTAGTAAAATTGAGGTTCGAATCTTAAACCAATGGATCAATACAAAACATAAATGCATGATGGCCATGGCGGAATTATTTGCTTGCACATACTGAGTTACTGTGACTTCTCGACGAAACACAAACAAAAGACCTGTCACACATACTGTAACATCTCTGAGAACCACTCCTCTCCAGAATCTCTTTTGAAGATCACCTGACCACCTTCATCCCATTCCAACAAACAAGGAACAACAAAAAACACCTTGTCTTTGAAAACCAATGTGTCCAGCCCCAATTCGTAGCCTTCACTGCAGCATCACCTAAAAACAAAAACCCTGTTCACCTCAGAAAGCCGCACCTGGACTCACTCGCCACCCCCAAACACCACGTTTTCTGAAACCGCCACCACCCGACCGGGACGGAACGACACAACCCAATCAACGGGAAAGGCCCCGCTTGGGGGGAAAAAATAACCGTATGCGGTGCAAAAAACGCCTAGAATCTGCATCCAAGATCTGTTCATGACTCATTTATGATTGTAAAACTGATTGTAAATGTATATGAATAAAAAAACAAAACAATCATGTTCCTTCCACTCCGGCGTAAATCCCTCCAGGTGCCATCCTCGGCTCGTGGCCCGACCATCCGATCCAGCCAAACATCCAGTTCCCACCTGCGCAAAAGGTCCACCAAGCACCACTGCCATTGCTCGACCAAGTCATCCAGAGACAAAGCTCGGAGCTCGGAACAAAAAGAGAGGAGAAACCCGCTGGAGGGCAAAACAAAATCTGGACTCGTGGCAACTCTTGGTTGAACCGATCGTTATGGACCAAGCCAACCATCCTGCTTCCAGAACTACCATGTCACCATCTGATAAGTCGTTTTTGATGTATCTTTCTCCTTTGAAGGTGTTCGATTCGCATGCAAAAGCATTGAGGTGTGTCATAAGTAAGCATTTTTCCCTGTGACCAGGTCCCCATGTCCCCTGGCCAGGTCGAAAGGCATGCTTACAGATTCTGCAGCTTTGGAAGGAAAACATCTGCAACTTCGGTTGGCTTAAACAGCTTGTTGGCTTACTTTCACGGCCATCCATCTCGTGCCATGGCCCATCCATGGCTTCGTTGTCAGCTGTCAGTTCCACGGTGTTTGGAAGCCATCGTTCGAACAGCGAGCAGCGGTCCATGCGCCGGTCGTGTACCACCACGCGATTGTGCCGTGTGCCGAACATGTTCGATGCAGTCGGACCCGTCGGATCCTAATTCTCTATACCTCCTCACGCAGAAGGCGTAAAAAAGTTTATAGAGACCCGTTATGGCTTTATATATAGACCCCCGAAACATATGCCAAACACATCCTCAGGTACTTGGAGCCTTGGCATCTATCAGAATTCAACTCACCCTTGATTAAAGTTATCGACCATATGTGGAGAATCAGTCAACCTATGAGAGCAAGCAGTTGAATAGCTGGATGATAACATGCTGTAGAGCTGTTGGAGGTCGTGCACCAATTGGTTCAAAAAGAATCCACCTCACAAGGAATGGGTTTCCCTGAAGGATATTCCGTTGGGGATCGTCTCCTTCACCCCCGTGCTGCCAGCAATGAAACAATCATGAAACACGATGAACAACTGCATAGTGCTGGAACCCATCAAACCTCTGAACAACAATCCTCTTGTGGATTACAATAGGGTCAACTGGGCTCCAGATTCCAGCGTAATGTACTGTACAGTTTAGTCGACTTGACCCAAATCATAGGAAAAGGGCAGCTCAGGACTTTTGGCAGCATCTGTCTATCACAGATTCACTAAAACTGCAAATTTGGGAAATGCCCAAAGTGCCCTGCTCCAAAGCCAACGCTCTAGGCCTCTAGACTCTAGGGGTTTAAGACCATACTCACCATTCCCAGGGACGGACAAATACAAACACTGCCTTCCGAACTCAAACAGCTCGGGACGGCTCGGGGGCTCGGGCGGGTTTTTTTCTGAACATGCAGCAGGCTCGGGCAGGCTATTCTCCGAGAAGTCTCGGACAGGGATGAATGTGACCATCCTTGGTGTTCCATCCTTGGCCTTGAAGTTACATCCTCTTTTGCCATCCCTTTGCCCTCGCCGCTGGTCAGAGCTCCACGATGCGCCTGGCGTCACAAGGAGGAGAAGAAGACCCCGGTGGCTGGTCGGCTTCCTGTGTTTCACAGGGGACATCTCCGAGGTGATTGGTGGAAAAAACATCCAAGAACACCACTTACACTGTTGATTGATGTAGAGGTTCAATGAGGTTCATCTGGCAAATTGCTGAAGAAACAGAAAGCCCTTGCCACAAATGCCTCTTTGGCCATATCGCTTGCACGAAGCAGCGAGGGAAAGTTGGATTGTCAGGTGGTCAGCTCAACAAATTGCCGTTCGAGCATCGAGGCTTTGGCACCATGGCTAGACTCTGAACACCCATCCATAACTCACTGGTTGCATTTGAAAACAACTTAAACAGTCACCTTCCAAACAGCAACTTAGCGCTTTTGTTCCTTGCCCATGGCGAGCAGCTCTTCTGCGTTGAGCTTGGCAATCTGCTCAGCAGATTGATCGCAGCAGTCCAGGAAGACTTTGGACCAAGGCCTTTGTTCCGGCTTCTATCGCAAGGGGTATACTAGGGCAGATTGATCCACTTATTATGTGCACGGTCTTGATTGAAGTTCATTGGTGGAGGCACATTCCTGAGTTCGCAAAACATAAAGTGTCATGAATCCATGAGCAATATAGTTTTCCACCACTGACAAGATCAATAATGATCCTAAATATTCTCAAACGTCTTGAAACTGTCCACACCCAGTGAAGAGTTCTATTGCTGAAAGCTCGGGTCCTGTCCAAATCCACATCCAACAAAGTTCCTTCCAAGCTCCACATCCACAGACCGGCAAACCGATGCAGCTTCTAATACCTTCCTCTCAGAACCTGTACAGCTTGGCACAGCGGCTTGCTGCACAGCCGCTGGGCGCCACCTGCGACCGGGCCAGTGCCGGGTCAGACGGCATGTCGTCCGTCAGTGCCCATCTGTTTGGTGTCACGGACTGGTAGGGAAGCGGATAACATCGCACATCCAATCACACTGGATAGGTCGTTTCGAGCAGATTTCAGGGCCATCAGCTCAGCTTGGGTCATTTTTCAGGTGCTTTCACAGGAGATGGCACAATCAGTATGCCAGTGATACTCCACCCCACCGGGTCGCTCCCCCCCACGCTGGTCAGTTGGGCGCGACCCTGTGGGTTCCAAAACCACATGTCAACACTCCGGAATGCAGGATGACATTCATGGATGTTTTGAAGGAAGAACTTTGGGCATGCCACAACAGAGAGGGTCCTCTGTTTCCCATCAAAATCTATTGCAAACAGAATTCGATATGCAACATCCAGATAACATCCGAATAAAAAACGAAAGCACATGTGAAAAAAAACAGGATGGTCATGGTCCCATCCGCCCAAGAAAAATCCCTCCCCCACCTGCACCGGCTCTCTGACCTCCACCTGACCCCGCCGCAGCGGATGGCCCCGGCGGCATCCGCCATGCGATCATCCGCCATTCGAGGCAAACGACTTGGAGCGACCCTCGACGTGGACGGTGCGGAAGCTGTTTCGGGACTTTTGGGCCCTGGGCATGTTCAGGAGTTCTTCTGGATGGGTGTAGGATGGTGTAGGGGCCAGGGTCCAAAGAGGTCAGAGTTCGATAGATTGGATTAGCAACATGTCGCGCACCAAGCGTGCTTTTTGCATGGAGAATGTGTCTGGAGCTGTGTTCTTGGTAGAAAGACTGCCACACCAAACACGGTGAGGGTGCGTGAACATACCACTTTGTTTAGTAGGCGAGTCTGGTTATGTCTTTCTCACTGGGTCTGCAACGCTTATATAATTCACTGATGGAACGCTGTAAGTTCGCCTCTCACACTGGATGACACCAAAATAGCGTTTCGGGCGCTATGCGACGTTGAAGTAACAAGAAAGCTCCACAACTGCCATCAATTCCACCGGATGACTTCAAACAAATGCACAAGACTCTTCAAGACTTATTTGTGGCCTACTTGTAGCTTTGTCTCCTGCAGTTCTCAGATGTTCTCCGTTGATTGTAACAAGAAAGGCATACAAACTGAACAATACAAAATGAACTTACTGGTCTCCCTTAGAATGGACGGACCCACACTGACACTTTCAGTGCTCGGGCCAGTCGAGCTACAGCAGGATGGGCGAGTCAAAGCAAAGCCAAGACCGGTCCTACGTCAAGAGTGCGTCACTCGTAGCCTGCTTGAACCAAGTAGGGATCATCATCTAGGCAAAGGCCAGTGTGAGTCAGGCACCTTGCTCGACTTACGCTCAAAAAGGTGCTGAAACCGTTGAGTTTCAACTCATCAAATTTTGCAACTCTCCCGCTTTTGCAGACGTAGCGATCAGCTTTGGATCGCCAAGGTTCTGGCTAGACAGCCTGGCCTGACTCGACAAACAGGCACATGTTCAGGTCATACTTTGGGCTTTCATCCAGCAAATCAGTTTACGAGTAGTATATTGTATAATATACCTAGCAGATCGATAAACTAGATTAAGCATGATCAAACAAGTAACCAGTAAACAACAATTAATGTAGAGACAGGCCATGGTGGAATCAAAGGCTCCACGCTTCGGTGATTGCGTCGGCGATTTCGTCGATGGACTTTGCAACCGCATCGATGTACACAAGGCTTCTCCGGAAGATATAGGCGTTCTGAATTTGTCCGGCCCTGTCAGGAGGCATGGGCGGCCAAGTCTGGCAATATTTCACTGGGATGATGGGAATCTGTTCTTCCCACGCATACGATAGTTCGTGAAACGTCTCGTATGCGGCACCCGTGAATGCACCGTAGTCCCATTCACAAAAGGCGGCCATCTTCCTCATGTTGACCAAGCCTTCCATGGTGGGGAAATTGAATCTCTGCCCGCCGCCAACATTGACCAGGAAGGTTTCGACCCCTCTGTTCTCGAGCGCTTCTTGGACTCTGCGAATGTATTCGAACCTTTCTGGCGTGTTGAACCTTCCCGACAGCATCAAGTGCCGCCGTGGTTGCGGTGGTGCTGGCGGACGGGGGATCTCTGGGTCTGGAGCCACTGGAGGCACTGGTGGTGGGTCTGGTGCCTGGTGTGGAGCCACTGGTGGTGGGTCTGGTGCCTGGTGTGGAGGCACTGGTGGTGGGTCTGGTGAAATTCTCGGTGGGTTTGGCCGGTCTGGAGGCACAGGCATGTCTGGAGGTGGTGGCAACGGTGGATAAAGCGACACTGCAGTCTGATTCTGCAGGATGGGCACATGTTGGGTAAGCAGCACATTCTCTGGAAAGGACGAAGTCGACCCATGTGGAAATTCAAAGGTGTAATGCCGAAAATGAGTTCTTCCTGTATCTGGTTCGATGACTCTCATGTCCACATGTAGCTGATGAGTGGTCAGAGTGTCAAACGGAACCTGGAATGCCTGGGAGATCTGAACTCTACTGCCAAAATCCATGTGGAAAATCTGAGCCACTTCTCCATGCAGGATGTTGATCTCTCCAGGACCAAAGAGATCAACTGCTTCCTCCCCCGATCTCACGAGACCAGCAACCTGGTGATGGAGCTCCTGTTCACAGGTTGGGCAGTCAGCTTCCAGAAAAGCCACCTTGCTCTGTGGAGCCTCTTGCGATGAACCTGGGTTCAAGAAAGCGACTGCTTTGATAGAAAAGTCCGAAGCTGGTCGGCTGGAAAACACCTGGCAGAAATGGCTCAAGTAGAGCTCCATGTATCCCTCTCGAAACTGCGCGGGGACTTGTTCCCAGCTTCCATCCGACCTCGACCTCCAGGCCGCATTGGCGCCGACATGAGTGGGCACCAGCAAGCGCACCGGCTTTTCGAAGGTCACGCCCTCTGGCTTGAGATTGAGGACTGGACTTGCTACAGCAATTCCCTTTGGAAGCTTGAACTTCACCATGTCCATGAGCTCAAGTGTGGGCGTGTATTTCGACAGAACCGATGCGGGCGTCACCATCAAGACTCCCTCAACAACCTCTGGCGTACCAAAATTCAGCCCGCTGCTGCCGCTGTCTGCAGCATCCGCCACCTGCACTCCAGGACCCATGTTCTGACTGTATTGAATTACGTCCAGAAGACCGTTGACAAGTTAACACTACGTATACCGTTCAATTTGACTTATGTGTTTGAAGTCAAAGGCAAAAAGGACAAACCTGACTAAAAATGTCACGTATTGATGTTCGACACTGTCACGATCTCTCAAAACTGAACAAGAACACTTCTAATCTGTATTGAATTGAAACCAAACACAGGGGACGCCCGTGTAGAGGGGGATTTGGCTCCACGAAAGGTGATCTCACTCTGCCCGATTCTACAACAAACGCTCTTGCACAGCGAAAATGTGTGAAAATCAACGTGTTCCGCTCTCTTTTGCTTTTTACGTTTTCGGCAACTTGATTTGCCAGCTCCCCCCCCAAAACGGATTTTGCATGGAACTTGCAAATGAGACAGAGTCTTTCAAATGTGCTATGCATACAAGCTTTCTGGCCATCCCCTGGAAGAACAGCTTCAAAGTCCAAAAATTGTGTTCGGTTTTCTTGGACTATCTACCCCAGGAGTCTCGGAGTGCTTCTTATATTCACAAATATCCGCTTTTGCTGGTTATGACATCCACAGAAACACAACACGGAATCCAGGACGAAGTGTCACCGGACTATGAAAACACTCGAAAACAGCTCTAGTCATCTGTCACTGGACTTTGGCACCTTGGTAGGTGGAGATTCGGCAGGATCTGGGGCTGATCGTCGAGCTGCCTGCAGGGCGAGATCGAGATCTTGTCAACAAGAACGGTCAATCATCCAGCTGGATATATAGTGAAAACATATTGAATGCCAGAGGTCATGTCACATCGGAGCCAAGAATCGCAAAGGAGCAATCAACTAAAAAGACGCTGGCTTCTGAAACACCAGGTAGCGATCCTATATGTGCCCTGAGGCACGTGTCTGTTCAAATCTTGGACTGTGCTCCTGCTTCTGTTCAGTTGGTCACTGGATCATGGATGCAGTCTGTTCTACATTGCCAACAAGGCTTGGTCTTTAAACTATTCTTTTCAGGTGTGCCAGACCACACTTCCTTCATCAAGGAACGGTCTGAAGGAACCAAGCCTCCTCACAGCTTCGATCATCTGAAGGTGGAGGTTCATCAAGACTGGTGAGTTCTTTTGGTCCAGGTGCCTGCAGGACTTTAAAAAACAAACATTATTGCGTCTAGAAAACCAAGGGCCACTAAACATGTCTGGCAACAAATTGACTTCGAGGTTGAAGGCCTAAAAAAAAACATGGACAAAACAAAATCAAATTGCAACAAGATGCAACAAATGAAAAATACATAATCATGATCGTCGCAACTTGCTTGATCTCTGCAAGTAAAATTGAGAATCAAACAAAGTTTGAATCACAACAAAATGGACATCCATTTACCTGATTCTTCCAAGTGACCTTTTGATCCCTGGTTTGAGGTCACTTAGGGCTGTATAAGGTCACTTGGAGACTCCAAAAAGGTCACTTTGAAGAAGCTGGTAGAGGTGGATTTGGGTACACCATGGTACATGAACAGTCACTCTCTGCTCCCACCTCGTTCAGTGACCCATGCTGTTTTTGTAAACATCTAGTGCAAACTCCCTCTTACTCACGTTTTCTGTAAATTTCTGTAACTGCTCAGCCGGCACTAAAGCTCCCCGGAAAGACTGGAGGGTACATCATGCGCAGTCGGTCTCATGTTGCTATGCAAAGAGGTTCACATGGACCAGCTTCTGTCTGCACCTCTTGTAGCACTTGTTTGTTGTTCTCGAGATCCTGTTTAGACGTCACGGACTGATTTGGTCTTGGATCATGTACCAATGGTCTAAACAAACTCTACAGCTGAGCTCCGCACCGAAGCCTCAGCTGGAGCTGAAGAAGTGGCCTGACACTGGAAGATCACGGCTCTTCTGGGAATATGTATTTATCAATTTGTCAATATAATCATTGATGATCTGAACCGAAGATGCTCTCAAAGTGAGTGCACAAGCACACTCACTAGTTGTCTCTAGTCTAGTCACAGTAAATTCAGTCAGACCCCAATCGCCCGTCAAGAGGACGATTCTTATACTGTATACATTCTTTTGTCTCTTGGTAGGATGGCGGTGACACTTTCACCTGGAACTAGTTTCAACATACAGCGCTATGGCGCCGTCACGGCGCTGTGATTTTCCTGAGCCGACTGCTGTCTCTGGAGGCTTTGCAGGATCTTCGGGCACCTTTTGAGGCGAACACGGAAATTTCAACAGTGCATGAAACGGACAACTGTGACACAATCGAGCTCAGGAGGATGGATGATTGAATTGATCGAGCAGATTGGGCTGCCACACCATAGCAAGGGCGGTTACAAAGTCCCCGATGTTGATTCCGGCTTCTGCCAGCGTCGCCCGGTTTTGCCTGACAAAACACAAAACCGTCGAAACATCCGACACCGTCATCCTGGCAGCCAAAAGATGCAATGGAAACTACAAAATTTTGCAAACCACAACAACCTCGTAATTACCTAAAACCAGCCTTGCACGAATGAACAAGCATTCAAAGCTAACATTAACGTCATTATCCCACCCCGCCCCACCCGACCCCACTCCCCAAAAATCTTCTGACAAACTGTTTCACATCATTATCCCACCCCCAACCATCCCAACTACCTTCCGACAACACGTTTCTGTACACAGTCCGCGACGCCCCGGTGGGACGGTACCCATCAACAACCACATGAAATGGATGTGGCAATGTGTCAAACGGCGGGATGGACCTAAGTATTTGAACACGGGTGAAATATTTGAACTAGCACATCATCAGCACATCCTCACATTTCTCAACCTGTGCCAAACTGGCGCCGAAAGCAAATCATGTCAATCAGGATCTAATTGAACCCTGCCGCAAACAGATTTGACACCCTATGGTTTGGTGGTCTTTGCCAATGATGCGCGACCACCCAGGTTCGAGAAACAGGTCCAGGACGGTAGAGTTCTGATTTAAAATAACATAGCCAGGACATGTCAGGACCTTTCTTGAATCTTGCGTAAACCTGTGCTAGTAAACCGTGCAAGGCACAAAGGCTTGCCGGTGTTGGTGATCAGCTCTCGAATCTTGACCCCGAGCTTTTGCCTCAGCTTTGAAAAGAAATGGCACAATCACACAGGCGTCTGAAAGACTTTGAAAGACACCAGCTTCTCCCCAACCGCAACCCTCATGTTCCACCCGTAATATCATCAGCAGTATACTGCCATGTTGGCCGCATCGGCTTGCCCAAAAACTAGACCCTTTGCATCCAAGCTACTGGGCCTCCTCGCGTAGCTCATTCACACGCCGCTCTGGCCAATGGCCACCTGAACTTCTGTTGCTCAACATGCTCAGCAAAGGGACACAACTGGTGAAGTCAAGCGCTCAAACTGGCAAACGAAAACCAATCGTCGACGTATTCTGTGA